TTGACCTTTTTTCTGTTTATTAACCTTTCAAAGGAACAGGAAATGAGAGCTCTGATCTACTTTTAGCAGAGCCAGTGGGAGAGGTGTGCCTGATGCCCTGCAGCCACCGTGTCACTGGTCTGCAGCTTCTCCTGAGCCAGAACCTCTTAGAGGAGGGCTCGGGGTGAGGCTGGTGACTTGTTGGTGGAATATTTGGTTTGCAGTGAGGGAGGCCGAGCTGCTGGATAGAGGGAGCTGAGCTCCAGCTTCTTTAGAGGCGTGAAGGATTTCTCCCTGCAGCCCTCCAAAAGAAGATATTCAGCTCCAGAGAGCACTTCATGATCTGGCAAGGAAGGGAAAGGCTGAGGGTATGGGAGTCACAGTTTAAATAATTTAAATGGAAAATGTTGCCCTGGTTTTTAAAAGTGTTACATTGTCTTTTATAGTTCTTTTTAAAGTTTTAAAGTTCTTTTAAAAGTTTTCTATGCCTTCTGATGTTTATATATTTCTACTGGAGTTCTCACATACTGTTCATGAAAATAATGATTGTTTTGCATTCTTCTTTGTAAGAGAAGAGAATTGATGGACTGATAGTTTGACCAGTGTGGTTAGAGAGGTGGCAATTTCATCCTCCAATCCACTGTCACTTTTAGAATTATATATATTGCAAGGTCAGAAATAAAATTAAGTCTTTTTTTCTCTTGAACTCACCAAGCACAAAAAAAATAATTTCGGGGCCAAAAGCAACAGGAAAAAAAAAAAAAAAACAAACAGAAACCTTCTTTTTAAAAATATTTATTTAATTTTATGAAGCTTATTTTTATAATGACGAGTTGAAATACTGCACCTGTGGCACCCAGAGAGGTGCTAAGTGCTGCTGATTTAGAAAAGCCTCACACTTATTTTTATACAGCTCCTCCAGATTCACCTGGGATCCTTCCCAAGGCAAAGCACAGCCCCTGGCAGTGCGCAGCCCGTGTTTTTTTTGGGACAGGCACACGAGCAGAGCAGAATCCTTTTGATAGAAATGGAGAGTAGGTGTGTGTGGCATTCTTCTCTCTCTCAGGATTTTTCACAGAGGAGCCCAGAGGAAAGAAAGAAAAAACAATTTCTATTTCTGCTCCTTGTTTTTCCCATGGGGAATGTGTTTGGAGAATTGTTTACCTGGGGTGATTGGTTTTGTTCTGGTAAGGATTGTTTGAGCCTGATGGCCAGTCCAAACCACCTGGGGCTGGACTCTCAGAGAGGGTCACAAGTTGTGCATTAGATATGGTAGTTAAAAAAGGTTTGTATTTTTAGTATCTCCTTTAAATCGTATATTAATATATTGTAGTATAGTTATAATAAAGAAATCATTCAGCCTTCTGAACTGGGGTCAGACATCAGCATTTCTTCCCACTGTGTTTCCCTACATTTACAATAGGTGTGTTTTTAACTCATTGGCACTTGCTGCACTGGGTGAGGATTGATAAATACCTTTGTGTCCTCCCTGCAGGCACTGAGTGCAAGGTAGAAGACAACTTTATAATTAATTAATTAATGGGGAAGCCCTTATCAATCCTCAAACATGACATGATCAGGCCAAATTTGTCATCTTTGATGCATCCAAGTGATGCCACAGGGAAGAGAGGGATTTCCTTCTTTCAAGGCACAGTGCAGCTGTTTCTGCTCTCAGATGGACTTTTGCCTGCCAAGCCCCCAATCCCAGCTCTTTTCCAGGATAAAATCTTATCAGTCTGGGAGGAAGAAAAGCATTTTCTGGAAGGCTCTTTGATAAATCTTATCTATGTACTGGGTCAGATGAAAGGGCACAAAGTTTTACCTGAAATTGTGATGGGATTGTTATAGCACTGGACAGTGCATATAAAGCATTTTGCAGGTATCAATCTTCAATTGTTCAATTTTTCCAATTATTTAAACTCCAGTTATTCTCTTCTACTCACTAAAAAAATTACTGATTTTCCTGAACTGCAGATAATTAGCTCAAGAAAGACACAGACTGTTAGAAGAGGTTGCCCAGAGAAGCTGTGGCTGCCCCTGGATTCCTGGAAGTGTCCAGGGCCAGGTTGGACGGGGCTTGGAGCAGCCTGGGACAGCGGCAGAGATTTGGAATGAGATGATCTTTAGGGTCCATTCCAACCCAAACCATTCCAAGATTAACTGATCCTGTGGTGAGAGGCACTGCCAGCCAGAGTTCTGCTTTCCATTCCCTTCTTTATTTATTGCAGAAATATTTTCAGCATGTCTGGGGCAGCAATGAGGAAGATTTGTATGGTAAGAGCTAACAGGCAGGTACAAGGTGTGTTTACAGAAGCAATAATTTATAAAAATACATTTTATGTGTCTTGCAAGGCCAGTTGCACTTTCTTTTTATCAGAAAAAAAAAAAAAAAGCTTTTTATACAAAACTGAGCACCTAAAAGCTTTCTTCACACATCACAGGTGGTGCTGAAAAATGTCAACAGAGAAAAAGATACAGCTCACCAAAACTCTCAGAGTGCATAATTCAGGGCATTTAAAAAGCCATCTGATGCTATCAGATGGCTTTTATTTTGTACTATAACCTATCATGAGGTAATGGCTGCACTCTAATTTATTGCACTTGGTGGAGGAAAAGATTGTAGAATGTGAAATATTCCGCTGTGGAATCATTTTCCATGGAATCTTTAATATCCTGACACTGTTGGAGCTGCTGGCTGTTTGGAGGGAGATAAGTGTGAGCTGTGAGAGCAGAGCTGGGCACCAGACACAGGGACCTGAAACCTGGCTTTTAATGAGCTCTGCAGGAGAGCTGCACCAGGGAGATACCATCAGTTATTCCAGTTTTCAGGCTCTGATAAACTCAGCTCAGGACTTCATTATTTGAAAAGTTCAGTTTGTCCATGAAAGAAGAGGGGGGGGGGTAAAACCTGTAAAATTTGAAAGCGAGCTAAGGGTTCTTTTCCAGCTTCAAAGCATTTCTGTGTGCTCTCTATTGATCTGAGACAGATCTGCCTCACTCTGCACAGGCTGGTGATGACTCCAGCCCTTTCCTTAGCTCAGGGAGGAAAAGATGATTTAAAGGGGGAATTTGGGTGAAATTATTGAAACGTAAATTTTAAGGAATTTAGAGATTTTAGAGGAGCTAAGATTTTAGTTAGAAATAAGTCTTACTAGAGTTAATTAAAATAAATTAGTAGGCCTTGATGAAGTTAAGAGTTAGTAGTTAACTAATAATTGATTGATTGTCAGCACAATGTTTAGTTAGCTGGGTTTATAATGAAGAATACACAAACTGACAAAGAGCTTTTAGGAACATGAGACAATTCTGGGCCTCCTCTGTTCTGAAACCAATTGAGGACAAAAAATGGGAGTTCTACCAACAGTTCATTTATCATATTTGCATTGAAAAGGTAGAAAGGTCAGAACGAGGAAGACTTGATTGACTTCCTCATTTTGGGACCCCTCCCCATGAAAGGGACACTGACCCATTTCAAGGGACAAACTAGGCATGCTTAATAGCTTTTGAAGTAATTAGCATACGAAGCAGGGAATGGGATGTACCAAAATGATGAATATGTATTTGTATTTTTGGTATTCAATACTTGTATGGATAAGAAGACTCCGCAATCACCTGGAAGCTGCGGTGTAGATTTGGGAGCGATCCCACACACAATAAACACAATAAACACACACTTTCTGACTTTAAACTCTTAGAGAGTTTTTGTCCATCACAGTTGGATCTTGGTACTAGATCAATATCCATATTTTTAATAAATCATTACCAACAAGTGCAGCCTGACAGGGGTTCTCATAGCTCCCTTTGCTAGCATGTGAGAAGTCTTTCCTCAAGGTTTTGTCACCACTTTGTTCCTCACACCCCAGGGTCTCTCCTGTGGGGCTGTTGACCTCAACAGTGCGTGAGTCACATTTGGGGGAGTGTTTCCATCTGATGGGCTGTGACAAATTACTGACAAATAAAAAGGTGCTGGGAAAAGGGAGCTCTGCTGACAACCCATCCATCTCACCCAGGCAGCAACTGAAGTGCCTGGCTGTTGGAAATATAAAGCAGGGGGGAAAATGTCAAAATTCTGCTAAGAACTCTAAAAGGGTGACATATGGATGTAAAAATGTGTTTGAGTCCTTTATTTTTTTTTTCTATTAATTCAAATCTGCCAATTCCTTTTGGCTTCAACAGTAAAGTTACGTGATCCAACAATGCAGCATGCCTGGGGTGTTATTAATGCTTTTTGAGAAATTAAAGGGCAAAATCAAAACCTTAGAAATCTGTGGAAAGGACATGGCATTTTTCTTTCCACTAAAGCTTTTATTCTACCCAGAAAATCTTCACCCATGCCTCATTTTGACAAAACCCTGTGTTTTCTGCCCATGTTGGTGGTTATTCCTTCATTCCTAGCTTGGATGTGCCACCTTCCCTCACTCTTCCCTAGGGATCCTCTCCTGGCCACAGCACTGCCCTGCTCAGCCTCCAGCAGTGGTTTGTGCCTTTTCCCTTTTTAAGAAGAAAACTGCTTCTGACAAAGGGATTTGGGTCCTTGATCCCTTGATTGTCACCTGTGTCCCCTTCCTGCTGGGAGAGCTGCACAGTGGGAAGGAAAAGATGATGGCATTTGGGGGAAACACAGAAGGGGACAATGCCTCACAGGTTCAGATCAGGTGTTTTTATGCAACAGGGAGTGACAAGGGCAAGGAAGAGATATATTTAATTAGGAATTTCTGCCTTTTTAATCCAGGAGAAGACACTGGTCTTGTATCTAGCCTGATTTTTCTTTTTTTTTTTTTTTTCCTCCCTTATCTGCTGTTCTGTCCCCAGTGAATTCTGGAAAATTACAGCGCTGAATTTTAGGGACTGGGGGAGCTAAAAGCTGCGTGTTTAAAGGAAATATTCAGGGGATTTTGTTCCAAAAGGTGCCTGTGCCAGGGTGAGGGTCTCAACACACCTTTGCAGAGCTGCTCTGTTGCATCCAGCACTCCTGAGTGCTCCAGCATCTGCTTTTTTTTTTTTTTTTTTCTCTTCCCCAGGCTGCAGGAGGCAGTGGGACAACATCACATGCTGGCCTGAAGCAGAGGTGGGAGAAGTCGTGGTACGGCCATGCCCCAAGTACTTCAGATTCCTGACCTCCTTCCTGGGTAAGCAAACCCCAAATCAGCTCCACAGCTTCACTCCCAGGGGGGTTCCTCATCATTCCACAGAGGGAACATCTCAATAAAGAGGAATAAACCAACTCTTAGCCCAAGGTGAAGGAGTTTCCAAGCCATCCATGAATTTCCAAACATCAAAACATCCTCCCTGCACTTGCAACAGCACTGCTGTTGATCACAGGGATGCACAAATGGCTCCTGGTGAAATCCAAAAATATGGATGTGAAAATTGAATCAAGCAGTGGAACAGTTGTGTTTGTTGTGCAAAATGAGCAGTTTAGCACAATCATTAATTAAGTCTCTGACAGAAAATGAACAAACTGGAACTGGATGTAATAAAGTTTTGGGTATTTTCCTGCTGGAATGACAAATCTGACCACAGGTCAAGGAATTAATCTGAAAAATAATGGGCAGGGGAGGTTAATGGAGAATTCAGCTTAACTCCCTGTTCAGGGTGTTCTGAGAAGCTTTAGTTTAAAACCCAGGTCTCAAGGGGCCGTGCAGTAACAGGGCTAGTTGTGTCTCCTGGTAGTTTATAGTTATTTTTCACTATTTTTATTATAGAAGCCCTGAAGGCCTTAACAAAAAATTAAGTTCTTTTGCACTGAAGATGCTGCATTGAGCTGACCCTCCATTACTAAAGCCTTGTAGTGAAAATCCACAGGATAAATTAAAAGTGGGGGTTGGGAACAAAATATCACCCCTGTTCAACAGGCACTGCACTCATTAACCAGCACATGCTGATTACATGACTTGCCCAAGGCCACACCAAAATTCTTTGCAGGCACAGAATGGAAATTTAAAATCCCTGGAGTCCTATCCTGTGGACTCTTTGCTTCTTTTTTCTGTCAGGGTTGGGATTAAATCGCGAGATGGAATTTCATGTTGGGACTCAGATGTTTATCAGTTCTCATCTCTGTCACAGTCCCACAAACCCTGAGTTCTGCAGCCCCTCACTCTGACAAACTAAACATGGAGCCCATCTCTCTCTGCAAGGCCTTTTAAGGATCAACTATCCAATTAAGAAGTGACACCTGAATTAGTTTTACTTTTAACCCTATAACCAACCACCTGTGCCTGAAATGGAGAATTTTTTATCCAATTACACAAAATCTAAAACCATGGAGAAGAAGAAAAAGAAGGAGCAGCCTCCACCCAAAACCTCCATCTTGCTTTACATCTATTCCTGCATTCTAAACCCTTCAACTCTGAGTTTCCCACCCTGTGATATCACATACATCTATTCAAGCTATACACTTATAATCTCAGTTTTATCATTCCATTTTGGAAGCTTCTCCACAGCCTCAGGTCAATGCAGTGTTCTCCTGGGGGTCAGTGCCTGGCAGCACAGAAAGTCTGAAATTCTCAGTATCCAGGGTTCCAACACTATCCTGGCCCTGACTTCCTCATTTCCAAAATTCCCTGGTAGCCCATCACTCCTGTGCCAACACCCAGGGAGAAGAGGCAGAAGCTGCTGTGATATCACATCGTGCAGGACAAGACCCCTGTGCATTGGATCAGCTGTGTGGAATAATTTCCTGCTGTTTTTGCTCTGCACCCTCCCCTGAGCACAGCATTCACTCTCTGGGTTTTATACACCAGCAGAGTTAGTAAAACAGAAAGAAAAATCTCTTAAAAATGCCTTCTAGTGTGGGAACCCAGGGCAAGGGGAATATCCTCCTCTCTGCCCTGGGGTGCCCTGACTCCCAGGAAAACACTGACTTTGACATTCATTCATGGAGAAGGCCCCCTAAGCCTCAAGGTAAACCAGAAACCACAAAAGTGTGAAATATAATTGTAGAGATTGAAGAGAGTATGGGAGTATGTCACATGGGTGAGAAATTTAGGGTTTAGGATTTTTAGTATGTTATAGATGGGTTCAAGATGGAGGATATAGGGTGTTGTCTCAAGTTCCTTTCTTTTTTCTTTCTTCTTCCTCTTTCTTCTTAGGTTTGGGTGGTATCTTGAAATTGGATAGAAAAATCTGCATTGTGAGTCTTTAGGGGTCAATTATTGGGTTAGAAAGGGAAATAATCTAGATGTCACTTCTTAATTGGGTAGTTTAACTTTTGATTAATCTTAGAAAGACCTTGCAGCACGAGGTTGTTGGCCATTTTTGTGCTGTTTTCCTGCACACAGAATCTGGTGCAGACAGTGTGCTGAAGTTTTGATAAGAGAACAATAAACAGAAGCTGAAAACCCAAAAGGTCCAGTGCATCTCTCATTCCTGACACAGAACTGCTCCAGGAGGGTCTCCCCTGCCAGGGGAATCCCCAGGGAATTGCCCAACTTGGGGCCTGCAAATTCACATTCTAGTACATCATCCCATGAGAGCTGAGTGATGAGGAGAATATTTTGTATATTTGATATACATAGAGGTCAAGCAGTGGAACAGACTGCCCAGGGAAGTGGTGGATTCATTGTCCAGGGAAGTGCTCCAAAATAGGAACATGGTTTAGTGTGGATCTGACAATGTTGGGTTAATGGTTGGACTTGATGATCTCAGATGTCTTTTTAAACCTGAATGACTCTTAAGATTCCATTTTGTGTGTATATTCTTTTCTCCTTTTAAATCATTGGGACTATGTTGGATTTAAGCTAAGGAAAGTGGGATATCTTTAATTTTGTGTCAGGATGGGTTCATGAGACTCAATAAATTTGCCTGAGCAACGGCAACTGCTCTTCTCTGATGTGTCCCGGGACATCCTGGTCTCCAAGTTCCCCTGCAAAAAGGTGCAGATCTCCCATAGTTTCATGTCATTGGGTCTGCCAGGTACTTCAGAGCATCTCAAAACCCTTAGGGTGGGTGTGGGCTGGGCTCTGCTCCCAGGGAACAAGGGACAGGACAAGAGGAAATGGCCTCATGCTGTGCCAGGGGAGGTTCAGGTTGGACTTCAGGATAATTTTTTTTCATGGAAAGTGTGGTGAGGCATTATAAGGAGCTTCTCAGGGAGGTTTGGAGTCCCCACCCCAGGAAGTGTCCCAGGAAAGCCTGGAGGTGGCACACAGTGCTCTAGGCTGTGGTTTTATGGTTGTTTATGGTAAGTTATTTAAAAGATTTTTTTTGGGGTTGTTGTGGTTTGTTTAGTAGTTTAGATAAAGATATATATTTTTTGATTTTTTTTTGTTTGTTTGTTTTTTGGTTTTTTTCCTCCCTGTTCTTGGTTGTTGTTATTTTTATATGGTATATTACGTGATAAATGTTTATAGGAGTTTTTTAAAAATATTTATTATTTATATTAAATTATATTATATTTTTGATTTTTTTTGTTTGTTTTTTGGGTTTTTTTCCTCCCTGTTCTTGGTTGTTGTTATTTTTATATGGTATATTACATGATAAATGCTTATGTTTTTTTTAATATTTATTATTTATATTAAATGGTGGTTTTTTATTTTACATTAATTTGTGAGTGTTAATATTATTAAGAATATGGAGGTAAGGAAGAAGAAACAGGAAGGATAGGGCAGATTTAATTTTTTTTTTTATTTTAAAACTTTTGAATTTTATGTATAAAATACCACACCCCCCCCGTATAAGTATTAAAACTCTTTTGTATAGTACTATTTTTTTTCTTTTTATTTTGTGACTATTTCTATTATAATATCTCAATTTTTGTGATTTCTTGTTCTTTTTGTAAAGTTGGTAAATCATTTTATGGCTTAAACTTAAAATTATAGTTGTTTTTAGCTGCCTTCTAGGGTCTTAAATTCTTCTGACTTGGGCTTGGAACTTCCAAAAATGTCTGAGGGACATTGTGAGTTCCAACAGCTCTCTGCAGCTGAAGGTTGTCATCCAGGGATTCCAGTTACTGGAAAGCTGGCTGCTGTGTACAAGGGTGATAGAACAAGAGGGAATGGCTTTAAACTGACAAAAAGCTGGGTTAGATTAGATTTTTAGGAAGAAATTCTTCCCTGTGAGGGTGGTGAGGGTGCCCAGAGAAGCTGTGGCTGCCCCTGGATCCCTGGAAATGTCCAAGGCCAGGTTGGATGGAGCTTGGAGCAAACTGGGACAGTGGAAGGTGTCCCTGCCCATGGAAGGCAGGGGGTGGAGGAGATGAGCTTTAAGGTCCTTTCCAACCAATCCACTCTATGTTTTTATGATTGAATGGTTTGGTCAGTGATTCATCTCAACCTGAATTAGCAATTTACAGTGATCAGATGAACAGCAGCACAAAAGTACCTGTTTGGTAAAGCACAGGGTGAGTTTCTTTGGAGAAAGCAGAGTCAAGACTCTTAATTTCTGCTGTTTGTAAAGCTGGAGTGTCTGTACAAGGCTGGTGGCCAGGACCCCATTAATGTCCACAGAAATCTGGTCAGCAGTCGCTAAAGACACTGTGGAGGTACCTGAACAGCTCTGGAGGTGCTCTATTGATGAATTTTCTGTTGACTGGAGTAGGAATGCACAGACACTGAGGGCTCTGTGCAGGTTTTCAACCATAAACATCTGGTACCATTTGATACATGTTGAAAGATCTAAAATCCACGAGGATTCCCCAACTGTTGTTAAGATATCTGTATTCAGGAAGCCAAATTGCCAACCTCAAATGGCATTTTTATCAGCTGATTTTAGAGTTTTCCATAAGTCAGCCTATCTCTGAGCTGGTTTTACAGTCAGAGGTGAGGAACAGGCTCCTTTAGAGGTACAGGTCAGCTGGTGTTTAGATTCCCACTCCAGGATGAGTTTAATACCATCTGTAAACCACATATTTCTCTCAAATTTCAACCAAAAATATTGCAGAGTGGCTCTGGCAGATGGGAATGTCTTCCAACAGGATTGAATTCCGCCTCAGCAGAGCACCAACAGAACAACTGATGCCATTCCCCAAGCAGAAGCAGCAGCTTTGATTCTCTCTGAGTCAGACACTTCGTACACAACCATCAACAATCAGGGAAAGCAGTGATGGTCTTAAATAAAGAGAGGGGAAGATTGCCTCCTGTTTTATAGGATTTGTTGCAAAATAAATGCCATTAAATGTTGTGAAGCAGCT